AACTTATTGTGAGGAAGAATAAACATGGGTTTGACTTTTTGAGTATGCGATAATAAAGCTAATCTCAGTGCGTTGAGTACTGCTGACAGATATTTACTCAGATCCTGGTTGAAACAGAAGATTGTAAGAGTGTGTCTGTTTGCTTTTTCGTAGACCTGTACTTTTAAAGACAACTGTTATTCTGTGCAGGTGGTTGTTGTTCGCAGGTGCTAATGTTAAAACGTTATCCTCTACTACTATTCAGAAGTTTATGGAGTAGTCTGCAAATAGCTTTTTGAGTGCGACCTTAAATCATCGACATCATCGGAAAGCAGAAAATTTGTTATGTTTCAACAGTCTATAGAAACTATGTGTACACGGAAGTTATTCCTTAAAAACGCAAGATGAATTTCCAGTTCTTGTAAGAAGCCGCGTCCAGTGGATTTCAAGCATCTGTTGGGAGGTAGTCACTCGCTGAAAATAATTGTGGACGCTAGCGCAATACGTGGATTGGTTGGAGTTAGATATTAACATCATTGGATGTCAGCCTAATTGTCTGAAGATTAAGCCTTCGCGCGCGAGACCGAATGTCCCGGGTTGGAGTTCCGCTTGCGAGCTTGTGGATGAGATCTGCTGAGCAGTCCCATACAAAGAAAAAACGGCCGTCCAATGTTCCTAAGATTTCAATGGTTGTCTAACTCTCACTCATTCATGGTATCAATCTAAGTTCAAAAACCTCCACAAACCTATACTGATCCAAAATAAGTCCTGATCTTAGTTATTTCCAGGAAATCGAAGTGTGAAGTTACTCATCGGAATTTCGGTGGAATGTAGTTATCACTCGAGGACCGGATCTTAACATGGTTCTCTTTGTCTAGTTGTCGTGTTAATCATGTCTCTTGTGACCTCTTGTGATCTCCAGAGATGTTGGATGTGATATAATTGGCTGATGTGGGTGCTTTGAGCTATCATGAAATGGACTTTAGATTGTCTCACTGAACACCAGAAGTGACGGAGTTTCAGAGTACCGTTTGCTTCGTCCACATTCGTATCTAATGTAATGGGGATCTATAACTAATTATCGTTACAATTGTTGCAATAATTGTACAATTAAGTGCTTTTAGTCGCCCGTTTTTGTATCAAGAACTAAAATGATCTCTTTCTACACACTTTGAAATCAACTTTCGACGTCTTACCGCAACTAGGATTATTAATAGGTCATAATAACATTTAAGTATTTCAACTTGCGTCTCCATACAGATGGATTCTAATAATTTAGGAAAGTCATCAATCAATTCGTCACTGCACAAAGTAGAAAGCTGTCCATAATTATCGCAAGCCTAAAAGCTGTGGTGGCAAATAATTCGTCAGGATAAGTAGTCTTACAAGTATTCAATACCAACCTTAACCTCATTATTTTTGCTGGACACATCTTAGTTAAAGGGTCTCGGTCAAGCATTCGCACAGAATTACGTCTGAGTACGATTTGTTGCACACACTTCATAACGACTTGTCAGTTTAGACTATGTATTTCGTAACTGATCTACGAATTTCCAAATACACCTCCGACCCTCCTAATTCTTGGATTCTGGCTAGACCTGCTTTGGGTTCCTCAAATTAAAAGAAGTCAAGGACAATAGGGTTGTCGATTACTGTAGATATGTAGCATCTTCAAAGCTTCACAAGCAGTCTCCCACTTCCTGCGCACATACATTGATGGATAACTGATTTGTACTATTCGAACTCGTCGATGTTTTGAGGTGTTAGTACGAACCACAAATTACAGTAAATCTGTAGCTCAATGAACCGGTAAATCGATAATAAAAGATTACTTTACCATTATTTCATTCTGAATAGCGATTGACAAAGCTACACACTACATACATTAACACCGTTGGATGCCGGCTCAGTGATATAGTGGTCAAGTGCTCGCACGCGAAACCAGTAGGTCCTGGGTCCGAACCTCGCAGGGGGCGAGGTCGTGGATGCGCACTACTGAGGAGTCCCATAACAGGACGAAATGGCCGTCCAATGCTTCCATGTTTTTCATGGTGGTCTAGCTTCGACTGACTCATGATCTTAACCATTGAAAACTACATACGTTTACTTTTGTTTGGATCACAGTGGAAGCAAATATTATTTTTGCCAGGTGCCATGTGATTAAGAACTCAATGTCATTGAAACCTCAGTAGACTGTGGTAAAATTACCTATGAGCAAATGGTTATTCACGTTTGAATCGTTTTTCTAAACCAGATCGAATTTGTGGGAAGTCGTTTTTCGTTGGAAAATGATGACAAATGTTGGAGATATTTAAATAATAAGCTGACTGACTAATGCACATTTGTTCGAAAATGGATTATTAAGTATAAATTGAGGTTAAAATTAAATATATTGCAAACATGTAACTTCGAGGGAGGCAGTAGGGTGAAATCTTCTTTATTTACCCAGGACAGGAGAAAGATAATTATTTCAATGCCTCACTAGTTGACTTTGAGCTAAGTGTTTTCAACAAAGTCCCCTCTATTTCCCGTCAAGCTTACCTAATTGTCCTCAGAGTATTCTGTTTGGGATTTGTGACATTTCATGCCGAGGTTAAAACTAGTGACGTAACCTGTTGGTTAACTGTTGCCGCGTTTTTCGGAGGTAGAGAACGAACTTATACAACACATTTACCTTCTCTGAGGTCATGACGCAATAGGCCGCTTATTCCAACCTTGAGGCTAGCAAATGCTCAAGTTCATTCATAACTGAATGACCAATCCATCTCAAGCCTATAAACAGATAGGTTGGCAGGCAAAAAGATATAGAGGACGAACTAACTGAAACGCCACTCTATTTATTCCTATTTCAGATTGATTCGAAAAGGCACATAAATAAATACATGGCTAGCAAGACAAAAAGACAGTTATTTTTGAACTAAGACATCAGGGTAGAAAAATGGGGTACACGTTTGCGTTTAAATTAAAGTGAACTAAAGTTCACGGTTCATTGAACAAATAGAGAAAAACTCAACGTTAGGTTTTTGCAGGCCTTGAAATAAGTATAGTGATATACCAACTATCAAAGAAATCAGGATGGCCATCAGACATATCAAGAGTGGGAAAGCATCAGGACCAGCTGAAACTCAGAGGTCAGACACAGAAATAACTGCTACCATACTTCACACTATTCAGCAAGATTTGGTTGGATGAACAAGGGCCAATCGACTGGAAAGAAGGATACCTCATCAAAATACTAAAGAAGCGAGATCTGAGCAAATGTGAAAAGTTTAGAGGAATCACATTAATGTCAATACAAGGAAGGGTTTTCAATATAGTGTTGCATAGCCGGATTAAACATTCAGCAGACGCCAAACTTCGAGATCAACAGGCTGGATTCCGCAGGGATTGGTCGTCCACAGACCAAATTGCAACACTACGGATCATTTTTGAACGACCAGTGAAATGAGAATATAGAAACATCATTATACATCAACTTCCTTGACGATGAGACTAAGTTTGACAGTGTGACCAGGAGAGCAATATGGAAACTTCTTCGACACTATGGAGTTCATGAGAAGATTGTCAACACCATCCAGAATTCATGCGATGGACCAAACTGCAAAGTCGTGAATGAAGGACAGCTGACAGATTCATTTCAAATGAAGATCAGTGTCAGATAAGGCCGCTTTCTCTCGCCCTTTCTCGTTTTTCTAGTGGTTGAATGGATTATACAAACCTCCACATCTGAGAGGAAGCATGGAATACAGTGGACGGCTTAGATAAAATCAGACAATTTGGATTTTGGAGATGAACTAGCTCCTCTATCCTATACAAAGTAACAAATGAGGGTAAAGACAGCCAGTGTGGCAGCATCCTCTACAGAAGTGGGTCTCAACATGCATAAGAGAAAAAGTAAGATCCTCAAATACAACACAGCGAGCACCAACTCAATCACATCTGATGGAGAAACTCTGTAAGAGGTGGCAAATAGGGGTAGCATTCTCACAATTGAAGAACATATATAACACGAAAAAGATTTCAACCAACATCATAGTAAGAATCTTCAATATGAACGTCCAGACAGTTCTACTAAACGGTGCTGAAACTCGGAGAATTACCACAACCATCATCAAGAGGGAACAAGTATTCATAAATAGTAGTTTGAGCAAAAAACTCAATATCCGTTGATTGGATACCATCAACAAAAACCTACTGTACAAGAGAACAAACCAGGTTCCAGCCCAAGAAGAAATTAAGAAAAGATGTTGGATGTGGATAGGACACACGTTATAGAAATTTTCAAACCGTATCACGATGCAAGCGCTAACTTGGAGTCCCAAAATGAAACGGAGAAGAGGCAGACCGAGGAATATATTTTTGAGGGAATTAGAGGAAGACATCAAAAGAACGAATATTACTTAGTAAAGCTGGGAGGGAGGGCCTAGGGTAGAGTTGGTTAGCGAATCCTGGTCGGCGGTATATTGATATGGTCAAGCATAATAAGGACAACTGAAACACCAACGACTGTACCAAGGACACAAATTAGATGAAACAACTCCGGACAAAATAGCATCCATCACAAATTACAAAGACGAAAAATCGGTCTTTATCTGTTATTGGAGTAAGATCTTGACGAGTAGATAGACTACATGTCAATCGTCGATTTCGTAATTAGTTTGGGATCAGATAAGTTTCAAATTTGGTTCAGAAGTCATATTTATAGGAAATTGACTCAATTCAACATTATTCTGTTGAGAAAGTTTTAAAACCAAAAAAACTCCTAGATTACGTTTGATGTCCATCAATGAATCTTCTCTTTGATAGTACCGTCATTCTACTATTTAATACAGTAATTTGCCATATTTATGGTTTTAATAGTCATTTCTGATGTAAAAAACAAAGTTCGCATGTGTGCAACAACTTCATTGTTTATTTCCAGAGTTTTTTCTTCATACCACAATAAATTACCGGGTACGGTGAATAAAAGGCGGATTACATCCTCCCGTTCAATATGTCGTTTAGTGAAGGGACTAAAAGCAAGTCGACCTTGGAAAATCAAGTTGAATATTTAATTCAAATGGAATCTACATTTTCAGAGGAGTTATTAAGGGTATACTATCGACGACTTTTCCCGTGTGATCTATTTGCACAGTGGCTTACATATAATTCTCGGAGTAGTGGGGTAAATTGTGTTTTATTATCTTCGTAGCTTTCTAAAAGAGAATTTAGCTTCACACTAAATGGTGATATCTATCTTCGATATCAGAGTTTTGATTCGTCATCGGACCTGAGGAAGGATCTAGTCAAGTTATGCCCTATTAAGATCGATATTGGGGCAGTCTACTCAAATGCTCCGAGGCTTCATCGTTCAATTTTATCCTCCTCACTCAAGGTAAGCTTTCTCAGTGCTTTCTTGATTATTTCATTTGGTTGTCTTATAGAACCGTATTGCGCCAGGGTAGCTAGTGTCAGTAGTCCTTCAGATCAGGTTGCTTACGAATTATTTGTAACAAACTGATGTCGATTCGGAGTTCTTGGTATACTGAGGTTCGTAAAACAGTCATTTCGTCCTACCATTCTCCAAAGATTTGTCTGTCAAATCGATTTGTCACTACAATTTAATCAGAAAATCTTGCTTTTAGTAGGCTGTTACATTGTGATGGTCGTACCCCACTTTCACGGATGTAGCTTGCATTGGCTAGATACATGAAGAACTTTTATTTGTGATCTCGGGTTTCGTGTTGCAAGTTTATTTCTACTGAAAGCAAATCAAATAAGAAAGTTTTGCCTGAAGAAAATACAAGCGGTGACATTTACTTTGAAAAAGGCAACAATCGGGCGCTGGTTTAATAAGCTGACAGGTTATTTCGTAATTCCACTTGTATAGACTACAGCATGTATCTGTAAGTTAGGGACGAAAACTAGACAGAGGCACTTGCGTTTCATGGCTTTGATTCTCTTTGGTCTGTGATACGTTTGTTTCATTTTGTGTTGGTTGGTAGTAACAACGCGGTTGTGTGCCCGTTAACCAGTGTCCTTTCTGAATAAGCGTGCAAAGTTCCTGCTGGCCACGTTTTTCCTCGTCTTATTTTACGTGACGGTATTCTTTGATGACCAACGACTCAGTTCATGTCACCATGCATATCATGACATTTCTGAATTTTCAAATAAATTTCTTCCATCTCGGTATTAGCTCACGGTCCTGTACTTAGCATAATTGTGTTAATTAATTATTGCTCTGACTTGATATTCATGTTTATCAAGCATATGTTGGTATTGGTAATTGAAAGTAAAGTTTTTTATACCCGAATCATGACAAAAAAGAACGATCTAGGACGTCAATAAAACCATTGCTGAATTTTTATTCTGCAGGTAAAACCAAAAAAATTGAGCTGTTTCATAACCGGTGTACAGATTTTTCTTGTATGCACTCAGAGTTCATGTTTGTTACGATACTCAGTATTCGCCTTTCTAAATAATATTTGAGTCACACGTTCAATTTCTAAATCTGAAACTTTTTCTGGGCTAAAATACTAATCTTGTACTTGTATTGGGATCATTAAGGAATATATTGGGCTGTAATTCAGTGATATAAATCAAGGTCTTTATACCATATAATAAACAGTCGGCCAAAAATGGAATTATTACAGCTTGTGGTAATAATACATGGTTTTGCTTGACAGTTATATATCTGTTTTTACTGAAAGTACTTAAAAGTACAGGTCACATGGAGCTGAGCAGAAGTATTGCTGCAAACTATATATATATATATGCATATGATTTTCTTTTATAATTAGCCTGAATGGAAAGAATTAGTTTTCGATATTGATTTGACTGATTATGATGAAGTTCGTTATTGTTGCGGTGAAGAAAGTACTTCTGGATCTTCTATTTGCCTTCGATGCTGGCAACTTGCTCGTTCTGCAGTCCTCTGTATCGACCGCGCTTTAAGACAAGACTTTGGTTTCCAGCATTTATTGTGGGTGTATTCAGGTCGTCGTGGAGTTCATTGCTGGGTATGTGATCGTTCCGCTCGGCATTTAGATCAAACTTCGCGTACAGCTATTGCGGAGTATTTAACTTTGGTTAGAGGGGGTAACGGTAAGAAGGTAATTGTACCATTTTTAATTCTTATTGTGTAGCCTTTGACTACTTTAGAAGAAATGCTTATGAACACCACACTTGTACTTTTAATAGTAATGTTTATTATGATTACAAAGAACAATATTAAGGCTGAGGACACACTTAACTAGTATAAAAACCAGTCAGTCGGTTATTATTGGACTTGATATTTTACATTTTCAAGTTGAAACAGGAATACTACTGAACTTGGTTAAATGTTCACGTTTTCTTTTCGTCACATATGAACAGTTACCAATGAAGAATGTAGAAAAATTGTTTTATTAGAAGTTATGCTGAGGAGACTATTAAATTAATACTCTTGTTTGGTGCACAAAAGGACTTGAACTTTACGTACGTCTTTCTGCACACTAGATTGTTTCTCATGAATTTTCTCGTAAGGTTTATAGCTAAAAAATAGATGACTTCGAGTAGTTGTTAAAACATGTATTTTACCACAAATGCATCAAAAGTCTTTTACATACTTCCTCACCCATAAATATCCTTGTTTCTGTTCACAGTAATTTTTTTACCTATTCAAAAGTAATTGCTACAGTTCGTAGGATCAGCAGTTAGAACAGAGTGAATGATAACTCCTCAGTATTCATAGCTTGATGGACCAACCAGAATATTCTAACCCTAAACGTATTTAACTATTTAGAACAAATGAGCTTGGTTTATTGAAGCAACAGTAGATATTTCATGGAAATGGCGATGGTTTTATAAAAAAGTGCGAAGTTAGCAATGTATTAATAGGAATAAGGGCATCAGGGGTGACAATAAAAATCAAATTATATTCCCTTTTTAAATGTTATCTTACTACTAATGAAAAACGCAGAAGAAAATCCGTTTCTGTCTTTAACTATGTCTAGTTAGTTTTCATACAACTGAATTACCTGGTCATGATCTACCAACCTAGGCAGAGATGGTGAAATTAAACGATTACGTTTGCACCAAAATGTTGAACATTTGGTTTTCTGCTGTCAGATCATTTTTATATCTCTAGATAGACCTGTTACACATCGGGTTTCTCTGTTCGGAGTGATATTTTCCTCTATACACTTAGTAGTTATTCATGTGCTTAGAGTTATTCCAGCGTCCACGTGGATGGAGACTGATAAAGAATCTCCATCTTGATAACACACTACTGACCTTTCTTGACTTCCTCAACCAAAATGTAGCTACAACTATATCTGGATGTTATGATAATATTTCTGGTTTCTAAAATTTCTGCCTTGTAAGTAGTTTTGTGTACTCATTTTTTGTTTTTTAATTTTATATCACTAAATGTATGTTGTGCCATTTGTTTTTAATGAAGTGATTAATACGAATTAAAAAATTTGTTGAAATAACTTCCAAATAGTCCTACAAATTTAAATTCATTAAACTTTTCAACTAGCCCACACTTACTGCTGGCAACTTCTCAAAATCTCATGATTCACATTCACATGGGAATATTGAGCCAATTTTTCATCCTTGTGTGGATGCAGCTTGTGATATCTTAATGCCTCGATTCACAACTTATTGCAGTACAGCAAATGGTCAAAATTTATTCGGAAATAAAAAACGTCTTGATAAGTTACTGTCATTTTTACCGGTTGAGTTAAAAGATCTTCGTGAACGACTTTCAGATGAGTGGTCTGCCGATTTTCAAGAAAATAAAGAAGAAGTATCTACAAAAAGATGGAACACATTGAAAAAGTTTTTGAAAGAAAATGGTCGCGCAAATGTTTTGAAGGAAATAGTCCTAAATTTCACATACCCTAGGCTAGATGTTAATGTGTCAACAGGTAAAGTCATTTTACTGGTTCGTTTGTCACGTAAAATTGACATTAAGTTACTGAGCATCATATTTACACATATATGGTTATTTTTATCAATTACATGTTTTGTTAAATAGCATGTCCATAATCACAACCCGAAAATCATCTGGTATCAGTTAGCACACTCGTAGCAAAATAGTTCAAGTAGGCAAACCATACAATTTCGGCTAGTGGTAATGCACTATCCTTTCATCGCACTTCTACTGATCATTGAATGGTATTCGTTTTGCGATTGAATTCTTCACTCGGGTTCTTGGCTTTTAGAGTTTACAGTAAATTATTTTATTTATGTTCATTAATGCCATTGATCGTTTATTTTACGATTAACTATAAAAGGAGCAGGTGTTTGAGCAAATGACCATTTACTCATTAGATGTACAGATTCGTAGTCAAAATGACCTTATTTCTTATTTAACTTACAGAAGTACGTCAGTATGGTATATTTTCACTTAAAATTAATATATAGTGGAATGATATGAATATCATTCCAAAGCATATCGGTCGTTATAAGTCTTAACGACCTACTAGTTGAATCATTTTTCACGCATATGTAAAGGCTAGCTTTCTGTATAGCTGCTTTTGGAAGCCACAAAGTACCACACTAATGGGCTCTTTGACGTATGTTCGACTATACAATTAAGAAATATGCAGTTATTTCTTTCATTTCAAAAATAACTTTTCAATGTGAAGAATCTGTGACTATAGAAGCTTGACTGTGTAACTTGATGGTCCATTGGTATTTAGGCTTTTATGAGAATGGATTATCTAAACCAACAGTTATTTTTTATCAGCCGTTACATTCTCATATTGTTGAATTCTAGGTCAATAATTTATATATATATATATATATATATATATATATATGTCCGTTCCACCCATAGTTGTGGAAATTTACGCATGTTTGGTTGGAAATCATAAAACAACATTCATTTGTCCTGAATCATATATTCTGCCGCAACAAAACTGGTTGCGAAATGATGAAGCAAAATTGTAGCTTAGTAAATGCCTTTAATTGTGTTGCATTTCCTAAGTTGGGTGATTTAAGTACAAAGCTTTCGTTGTCGTTCCAGGCAAAGTCGTCGTCGTATTCAGTCAATCCTTTCAGATGACTTTGTTTCGGATTGGTTGTTTTCACAGGTTTTATGATATTCTCGTATGTCACATATGGATCAGTCAGTCACAGGCTAAAACTTGTACTTCTGTACATCGGGTAATTAAAATAACCCATACTGTACATCGCTTCAAGTTGCCGTACTTCATTACCACAGAGCGATGTCAGGCCAAATCTCAGAATAGTAGAGGTCGTAAAAGTATCAGTGGTAATAGGCGAAATTCGCCCTCGAAAGTACGACTCGTAAAGAAAATATAAATTAGAGAAATGAAAACGAAAAATTTGTGAGAAACTTAGAATTTCAAGATTTAGAGAAAGGCAAGGAATGTATGCACCTCAGTCAGTCTTGAGTGCTGTTAGAGGTATGAGGGCGGAGGTTGGAAACGGAAATCCGTGGGATAAGACAATGTGTGTATTTTTAGTATTGACATTTTCTATCCCCCCAAATGCCCTGGTATGACCGAAAGTGGGGTGGGTTCGCCCTCCCTCTCGAAATGCTCTCACACGGCCGCGCGTATACAGCCTCTGCCAGGGTAGTCCTACTCACTGCCTTCTTGTGGTGGGGGTGCTGTTTACGAAAATGAGAGGACGAAAAGCGAATGTCCGGCACTAAAACCGGATCTCAAATCAATGGTGCACATGGGCTCCAGTATCCTGTGGGAACAAATGGCGTATGAACCGATTTCTTGGTCACCGGCTACCATGGGACTGCATCTCCTCACGATGCTCCACTGCCTTGTGGGTTAGACCTTTAGGTCGAAGGCTCGGGGTGTGGCCCCCAAAGAAAACCACATGCTTTGGTCTGGGCACCCGGGCAGTATCACAGCCCACACACAAAAACATGATAAACAGTCTACTAATGGAAAATATTCTTTTCGCCCCGATTAACAACCAAATAACTCGTATTATTATTATTATTATTATTATTATTATTATTATTAATATTTACTACGTCATTTATTCACTCCTTTTTATTCCTACTCTATCTATCCTTATTTTTCGACTTGTACAGCAGCTCGCCTATGGTGGAAATTCGGCTCTATCTAAACGTTCTCGAGTCACTGCCTGGTTGAAAATTGTATGTTACCATCGAATACGAGTACTGAAGCAGTTTTTCTGAAACCACGTGCACTATTCAAATTGGCTGCCTTCAACGTTCGCACACTTATGCAGATCGGACAACAGATAGGACTGGCTATGTCTTTGGAAAGTCTTAATATTGACGTTTGTTGTCTATCCGAGACCCGCATTCAAGACTCTGGTGAAGTACTACAAATTCGCTCTCCATCTGTCGTTTCAAAAAGCTTGTTCTACGTGCGTTTATCCGGGGACCCTGTGGCATCTTCGTCTGGTCTTGCTGGCGTTGGTGTAGCACTAAGCGCTAGAGCTGAGGCAGCACTGATCGATTGGATCCCCATTAACAATCGGTTATGTGCTTTTAGATTAGAAAGTCCCACCAAAGTGAGAAGAAATCGACGTGAGAAACGATGTCTTTTTGTCGTCTCCGCCTATGCCCCGACAGATTGCAGCCCGGATGCAATCAAGGATGAGTTCTACCACCAGTTAACTGTTCTTCTCCAGAAAGTGCGTTCGACAGATATTGTAGTACTAGCTGGAGACTTGAATGCTCAGGTCGGGCGTCTAGGCACAGAAGAGAGTCGTTTAGGTGGCCGATGGAGACTTGTTGGTCGCAGGACAGATAACGGGGACCGTCTACTGCAACTGTGCACAGACCACAACCTGTTTCTGGCTAGCACTAACTTCCGGCACATTCATCGCCGATGTGCCACCTGGCGTCCTCCCTCTGCATCTCAAGCCTGGACTCAGATTGATCACATCCCGATCAGCTACCGCTGGCGTGGTTGTGCACAAAACTGCCGCTGCTTTTGGAGTACATATCTGGACTCTGATCATGCCCTGGTCTGCGCCAATCTTACCTTACTTTTCAGTGGCCAACGAATTGATGTCAGTAAATTGGTTGCAACTTCCGTTGCAAGCAAGTACCGAACCGAGCTAGCTTCTAGGCTAGCTACCATTCCACCGAAAAGTATAGATGAGCATTGGTTGCGATTGCATGACGCCATGAAAATGGTGAGTAAAGCCGCTTGTGGCTTCACGAAACGTCCCGCTCATAACTACCGGGTTTCTCCAGGCTCCTTTCAACTCATTGAAGCCCGTCGGTCTACTCCGGGTGACCGTGAGTTTGACCACAGACGAAGGCTGTTACGTACTGAAATTGGGAAAAGCTTGTGTAAGGACCGAAAAGCCTGGTGGTCGGAGCATGCTAATGAGCTGGAAGCAGCAGCTGCATCTGATAACTACCGGAAGCTCTTCCAACTCATCCGAGCCACTGGCGGCAAGAAGTTTGGTGTGAGCGAAACAATCTGTGAGGATGACGGGATGCCTATCACTAACACCCATCGACGTCTTGGACGATGGGCAGAATTTTTCGAAGGGCAGTTCAACTGGCCTGCTGCTCCGGCAACATCGGTCAGACTGTCCTACCCTCCATGGCCGGTGACGACTGATCCACCAAATGAGGCTGAAGTCCGCAAGGAACTCCAACTCTTGAAACGTTACAAATCACCGGGCCCAGACGACTTACCTCCGGCTCTTTTTAAAGATGGTGGTGACTTTCTGACTAAGGGACTGACGACGTTGTTTACAAAGGTCTGGGAACTAGAGAGTGTACCAACGCCATGGAATGAGTCGATAGTTGTCCCTATCTTTAAAAAAGGTTCACGCCGTTCCTGTAACAACTATCGGGGGATAAGTCTACTTCCGATTGCGTCCAAGCTATTGGCTTCCGTTATACTTCTTAGGTTGTTCAAAACCCGAGAAGGATTGACTCGCAAAGAGCAGGCTGGCTTTCTTTCTGGTTGACGATGTATTGATCATATCTTCACCCTCCGCCAAATGTTGGAGCACTATCAAACTTATTACAGGCCAACAATCGTAGTGTTTCTTGATATTAGGGCTGCCTTCAATTCACTGGACATGAATGTTCTCTGGGATTGTCTATTGAGAACGGGTATGCCTGAAAAGTTTATTAACATTCTAAGAGCCGTATACACAAACATCTCAGGCAGAATGAGGGCATACAACCACCTTTCTCCATTATTCCATTCGAGCAGTGGGGTTAGGCAGGGTTGCCCAATCTCACCATTCCTCTTCAACTTTGCCATCGATGACATCCTGGAAACAGCTCTGGCGGATGTAAGTAGTGGTGGTGCGGCTCTGTTGTCTAAAGAAAGACTTCTCGACCTTGAGTATGCGGATGATATTGTCTTAGCGTGAGATGATACCCAAGCTATACAATCCTCACTTAATCAACAGACAATTAGTTTCTGGACGTATGGTATGCGTTCTGCACCTTCGAAGTGTAACGTGCTTTTACAAGACTGGCAGGATTCTGATCCTGTACTCACATTGGATGGTGAGCAGGTAGAAGTAGTCTAGAAGTTCGTGTATCTAGGTAGCTGCACAAGTGCTGGTGGTGGCGTGAGTGATGAGATCGATTCACGTATAGTGACTGCCAGAGAGGCTTATGCCAATCTGGGACACCTTTGGCGCCTTCGTGATGTTAGTCTGGCTGTAAAAGGTCGGATCTACAACGCGTCGGTGGGAGCAGTTTTGCTCTATACTTGTGGAACCAGGCCTCTCCGAGTTGAGGATGTTAGACGACTATTTGTCTTTGATCATCGTTGTCTCCGAAGGATTGCTGACATCCAGTGGCTACACCATGTTAGTAATGCAGAGGTTCGGCATCGTGTGTTCGGGCACAGAGACGATAATCTAATTGGTGTCACTATCCCGAAACATCGGCTTCGGTGGCTTGGACATGTTCTACGAATGTCATCCCAGAGAATTCCACGTCGTGCATTATTTGTCGACTCTGGGACTGGTTGGAAAAAGCGGAGAGGTGGTCAGTGTATGACATGGTGTCGTGGCATGAAAGAAAGCTGCTAAGGGCTGGCTTCTATTGGTCCTTCACTACTCCCTGGTTGGGGTCCGAGAGATGGTGTAACACAGTGGCTAGAAACGTTATCAGATATGGCTCAGAATAGAAGCCAGTGGCGATCCTGCTGTAAACTTACATCAGTTTGGCATTCAGGTTGCTTAGAGATAGTGGGTGACTGAAGTGTGGCTGAAGGCCAATTGAACTGTTCTTTAGTGTTCTGCTCTTCGGTCCGAGCTCCTGGATTGAGAAGGAACAGTAGTCTCGTCGTTTTCCGATACATTCTCACTAACATCGTATTTTTAATACGCGCTTCCTTGATAATTATGAACAGTTGTTTATTGTTATCTATTACCGCTGCCATTTCCATCTCTTCTGCTTTCGCTGCCCACCACTACTCACGATCATTATGTAGGTTTTCTACCAACCTACGCTTAAGCTGCCTCAGCTCTTCGTGATGTTCTGAGCCAGACGGGATGAGTTCTCAAGTATTTATCATTTCTATAGACGCCGATGAAATCCACTGATTTTCCCAATCTTTTGGTTTAAGCTACTAGTAGTTATCACCACTGCTTCTACAGCTTTTTGGTTATCATACCAAGCTATCAGGGTGAATATGCTTTTCAAGGTTAAGCAGCTCCTCTTGTTGATTCTGAAATATATTCTTAACTTTTTCATCATTAAGTTGTACTCTAAGGGGCTTTCTTTCTGTGGCTTTTTTACGCCCTGTAAGACGCAAAAAATACATTATCGAATTAAAGCATGGTTTGAGTCTAAAGTGTGCTCCAGAATGAGCGACAGTCTTCAATCGAGCCACTCGAATAATGGTTAATGGAAATATAATATATTTGAGTCCATCGATGAGTCTACTGTAGAGGTCTCCACCTCAGACGATGTTTCTTTTGTTTAGAGTTGGTGTTTGTCAGAAATAGACGGTTGTCTGAGCATAGTTACAACAGACTATCGCTATTATCTCTTCTCTGAGTTGCAACACCGTAAGATCCACCTAAGTGCTTTCCGGTTTGGTTTATTGTACTTACTTGAACATCAAAATCACCTGCCACTATTACTACGTCAGAGCGTTTTGAAGGAGGTTGCATAACTTCTTCATCTTTAACTTCATGCAAGATGCAATCGGTGAAAGAATAGACAGAGACAACAAAAAGATAATAGCGTGTGTACCTATCTTTCCTAGTTCTTAATGTCCTGTTTAGTCGAATAACGCAAGCAACTGTCTATTAGAGTACAGTCTAGGAGAGTCTTTTCTACTTTGGAACTTTGTGCTAAACGTACACCAGCGAGTTCACGGGAATCAACAGTTGGGTCTCCAGATTCATAAAGGTTAAATTGCGTCGGTTCTTAATATTGACAAGGTGAGTTCAAATAAATGACCGTATGCGCGTTTCGGAGACGCGGTGCACATCGATGTTGCGAGACTCGAGTGCCCTAGTTAAAGAAGCCTGTTGTCCTATCTGACACACGTTTCGGACACTAAAAGCCCCATTATTCAGTTTAGAGCGCGGTTTTAGGAGACCAAGAATAATATTTCGTGAATTCTAGTCATTAGCATTCCTGGCGCGTGGTGGTAAGGATAAATAAAAAGGGTTAGTCGTGGGGATAGAAGATTTATTAAAATGTCAGGGAGGTATGTGATAGTCAACAAGATGATTTCGGGTGCTAATATAAGTGTGAGGGTGGTTGTTAATCCCCGGTCTCCCACACTGTGGAAGGGTTTTACTTGAGGAACCTATATTAGTGATTGTCTTAGCTGCCTGAGAGCGTAACTTCAAAGCCCAAAGGACAACTCTTTGAGGCCGGTCTCGCACGACCTTTTTGTGAGAAAAATTGATGTTTTAGCTCTTTGCTTCAGATGGCCTTATCATCGGAGATGGAAATCCGTGGGGTAAGGTGAGTTGTAATATATTTGGGGTCGAACTTTTCTAACCCCTTCCTTCCTTGTGAGAGGGCAGCATCGCTGCAGATGCTGGTTATCCGAGGGAACACCTTACTGTTGTCACACCCCTTTACGGTAAACGGTAGGACTTCAACCTTGGGCTTCTTTTAGTCTTGCTGTTCTCCAACTAACCTGGTAGGACCTAAAGGGACATGTATTCCAGTCAATGTAGCTCTGTTAAGTTATCATGATAAGCAAGCCCGATCACCGCGTTAAGGTAGCAGCTACGGTCGGATTACATTTGATGAAGAAAATGTCAAAATACTGAATCCAATAATTCCAGTGACCATTCTTTCCGACTTTGAATCGATAAACACATCGACATAAGTGGAATCACACGAATAGAGATCAACACAGCAAAACAGTGGAAACATAGTGAGTAGGTAAAAATACTAACACCTAGGAATACGATGAGTCATTAAACAAAATTATCAGAAAGAACTGACGTGGTGCTTGTGAAATAATCAAAAAAGCTAATTTATAATAGAATTAGAAACTATTGATGCTGTACAGGATAACATGGAAGACTTCTCAACTAAACCACTGAACTCAGAGAACTTAAAGCTATCAAAAACCTTTTAATTCAACGTAACTTTAAATAAGTTTTATTATTTGGAGATTTTTTTCACTTTATTGTTTTTATCTTATTGGGTTTCTATTATCCGTTATTCCTCATAGGTCTTAACCATTTACTGAAGAGTCCATTTTGTGTGCATCCAAAAACTGGTTATATATGTATACCATTTAATCCACAAGAAGTCGATAAATTTGATCCATTTAGTGTACCAACATTAAATGAACTTGTAGAACAGCTTTCTTCTGTAACAAATAATGAACATGATTGTGGTAATAATGATGAAAATATTTCATCCAATGATAGACATTTATTATCATTTAAGAACACTTCTTTAAGGTCTTCAATTGAATATTTTGAGACTTTCATAAAACATGTTTTAAAAGCAGAAATTTCATGTATTAATGTCAATCAAGCTGAAGGTAATTCAGATTCGTTTAAATCTATTCCTGTATTTTAACACTTCCTTTTGTAAAAGAGATTTTAAAAATTTTGTATATGAATTATGTTATTAGATTATTATTATTATTATTATTATTATTACTGTTAGTATTTGAAAGCTTTTTTATTCGTGCACTATGTTAATATTCCGCAACTTCGACTTCATTACAGTCAACAACATTTCTTCTATCCTCTTCTTTCTTATTCTGCTAACTAGAGTCAAGAGGATCAGTTAAGTAATTGGAGCTTTTTGATGATAACTTCAATGTATCGATTGAAAACACACATTAATCTTTTATATATCAAGTACGATAGTTAGAATTTATGAACTGAGTTTTTGTCACATAGTGGAAATCATAGTAAAAATGCATTAAAATTCCATGGGCATAGTTTAATGCAATGGAAATTCGTCTTAATCGATATTGGTTTCTTTTCCTATAAGTTGTTTCATGGACGAATGCAGTTGCTTACAAATGAAATCATATTGAAGGATCATGTCTTGATGAGAAATATTGGAAAAACGAAGATAAAGCACAAAATTTATAAGACAACATTCCACTGTAGTTATCTTAGTAATACAGTTTTTACGTCTAATCATGTTGGACATCACACATGTTTACTTAATCCTTTAACTGAAGCACATTATGAAGTAGAATTTCTTGTTCAATAAAGTTTCGCTTTCTAGATCTCGGGGCTACGAATAATAAGCTAAAAAGATGTATCACAAAGGTACTTAGAACTGTTTTGGTCTAATCTATAACACCTGTCCAAGGTGCTCCAGGCGAGCGATTTTACCAACCCATGTTCGTAGATCCTATTCAAAGGAGAGGCTTGAACAATTTTTAGCGGAAAAATGGATTTCCACAGCAGTTTTTTTTACTGAGCACACAGAAACAGTGTTTTTATTCTGCTTCAAAGTTAATGAGATCGCAATATGTACTGAATTTATATTGTTATGCTTCAGTTATCGTTCTGAATTTATTCAAATTCGTTGAGGGAATCTATTCTATGATTGGTTCATGTTTACATATGAATGGTGTAGATGATAATTATATGTAATTATTCTACCATTTTCTACTTGTTTCAACACTTGCGAACAAGGTATTTCTTCAGTTTGTCAGTGGATGACTTAAGTGGTTCTCAAATTACTCACTGCTGTATACTAAAAGCTAACTGAATACGGTGAATTCTCAAGTCAATTGTAGAGTATTTTATTTGCCATTAGTTGTTATCGAAAATTTCCTAGTTTCGTAATAGTTTTTGTCTCAAACTGAATAAATCTCCAGGAGCTACGTAACCAAATGGTTTCAAAATATGTCTGCTGAGGGGTTACTGGGAATTTTTAATTTTTCAATGGGTACATCCTACAGAGCATGACATGAAAATATTTAGTTTGGAGTTTGGGTCGCTGTTGCGGTGACGGTCAAATTTCTGAAACTGAAAAAGTAAAGATCCTATAAAAGTTTGTTGTTCTCACCATAGATTCATTCTGTTTGTACCATATCATTATTCTTCTCATGTCTTCCAAATCAATAAATTCAAATGTATTTCTATTTGTTTTCTCAAAATAAAATAAAAAATGCCCATGTTTTCTGCTCTGTAATTTGTCAAACGACAGTTATACTATTTGTTAGTAAAGAGTAGTATAATTAAATTAGTAACAATTAATGTTCAGACCTTGAATTTAGGTAATTGAGCTATCACTGTTGTACAACATTAATTACACTTTTAGATTCGTGTTTCAGATACACTGCATGTAGCTCAGGTATAATGATATCTAAAGTACATCTTGATAGCTTTAATTTCCAATTTTTGGGAAAGAGGGGCTTGATTACGTTAAGTTTTTTAGAAGCACTTAAATGTCTAGCAGTTTTAAAGAATTTATCATGTATGTTGATAACTGTCAAAATTGAAAACTAGTTTTCTACAATCTCTTCGTCTTTGTCCTTCGAATATTGGTTTTCATTTAGTCTTTTGGGTTTGGATTATTTAGTCCAAAACGTTTTCTGCAACGTCGGATACAACGCTTTCGAATTGAATGTCGGTGATTGTATGTGTTTGATTGTAAGCATTGAGCGCGACATTCGCATTTGATAATGAATCGTGTATGTTGAGCTAGTTGAGAGGGAAGAGGATAGGATAATTTAATTACTTGGCGTTATTATATGTTCGTCTTCATACAGTGTTATACACATAAAATGGTCAATGGAAATGAAATTTAGAGAAAACATAAGCAAAAATAAGTTGTGTCAAATAAGCATTCTCCCAAATTGATGTTTCTGTTCGTAAACAAATTTACCGATAGTTTAAATATGATAAATGGTTGTCTCGATACTCTTAACTTTCATGAGTGGTTGTATTTTTTGTATTTACCTTCATTGTTAGTCTTGTGAATATTTTGCAGATGTTGCTGGAATGGATATCCATCACTAATCTCTAGGTCTACATACTTGTAAAGTAGCATTACACATTGTTTGAATCCGTTTCTTTTATTGTATAAAATTCTGCATCTGAGGCGTAGTTTTTAAGGCTGCAAAATATGTTTAAGTTAAATATATATTGGAGACATTGTTATCTTTTTTTCAAAGCTACAAGTGAACTATTTTAGAGTTAACCATATAGGTCTGAGTAAAAAGAATGTTTTTGTTATGATGTAACGAAATTGTATTGATCGTGGTTGTTCGATCATGTTCTTGAGTAGTATAACTAACCCTAAGTGCCCTGGTACGGCCGAGGGTGGGGAGAGTCAGCTCTCCCTCTAGAAATGCTCTCACATGGCTGGGCGTATATAGCCACTGCCAGGGAAGTTATACTCACTGCCTTCTCGCAGCGGGAGTGTTGTTTACGAAATTGAGAGTAAGAAAAGTGAACATCCGACCCTTGAACCGGATTACTGGACACGGTGGGTCAACAACTAACCAGGCTGACCTCCGGCCATTTTATAAATGGTGGTGATGTTCAGGTTAAGGAACTGAGTTGGAGCCCTGTCATACTTATTACAGGTCAACAATCGTAGTGTTTCTTGACATCAGGGCTGCCTTCGATTCATTGGATAGGTCTGTTCTCTGGCATTGTTTATTGAGGAAGGGTGTGCCTGAGAAGTTTATTGACATCCTTAAAACCCTATATACAAACACGTCAGGTAGTGGTGGTGCGGCTCTGTTGTCTGGAGAAAGACTTCTTGACCTTGAGTATGCGGATGATATTGTCTTAGCGTGAGATGATACCCAAACTATACAATCCTCACTTAATCAACAGACAATTAGTTTCTGGACGTATGGTATGCGTTCTGCACCTTCGAAGTGTAACGTGCTTTTACAAGACTGGCAGGATTCTGATCCTGTACTCACATTGGATGGTGAGCAGGTAGAAGTAGTCTAGAAGTTCGTGTATCTAGGTAGCTGCACAAGTGCTGGTGGTGGCGTGAGTGATGAGATCGATTCACGTATAGTGACTGCCAGAGAGGCTTATGCCAATCTGGGACACCTTTGGCGCCTTCGTGATGTTAGTCTGGCTGTAAAAGGTCGGATCTACAACGCGTCGGTGGGAGCAGTTTTGCTCTATACTTGTGGAACCAGGCCTCTCCGAGTTGAGGATGTTAGACGACTATTTGTCTTTGATCATCGTTGTCTCCGAAGGATTGCTGACATCCAGTGGCTACACCATGTTAGCAATGCAGATGTTCAGCGTATCTGATGCCCCGTCGTACCAATATTCATGTGTTCAAATAAGTGAATTATAATTACATAAGTGGCTTTAAAATTCCACGTTTCCTCTTTTTGATTAGTGTATCTGCTTGCAGAGCCATTTTCTTCGTTTTTTTCTAAAAAAAACCATTTTCTTTTTTGTCTCCAATTGTATTAGCCTGAATGGATGTTTGAGGTCTTACATTGATTTTGCTACCAGCATGATAAACTAATATCTGGTCATCGGTACTATAAAATGCCATCGTTTTATGATCTTTTTTTCATTAGTTTTCTGGTGGTTTATTATTTGAAATGATTTTACGTACTAATTATTGCAAAAGAGATATTCTTTTAATTACTTAATTTATTGTTCAATAACAAGTTTTTTCTAACTGTCGACTTATTAATTCATATTTAATAAGTTGCTCTCTTGCATGAACTATTTATATCAATGGTATGCACTATTTATAATCATTATATACTATCTAACTAATGATAATTCAGGAGTAATTTATAGAATAAAAGTAATGTTAACTTATTTTGTAAATATATCGTCAGTTCAGAAAGATGTTGAAATCCCTTTGAGTACCGAATAGTCATTCAAACCTTTTTGTGAGTTATGATAAATATTCCAACTAACCATTCTAATGGTATTAAATCTATGCATTTAATAACTGTTATAAAGAGTGGCTTCTTGCATGAAACTTAAATATATAGCTTCCTACTTACTGGTTCATATCACTTAACAAGTAAACAAATAAGTTTATTATTTTACTAAATATCTTTGTTTAATAGGATGTTTCCAGAATTTTTATCGATTAATATGAAATAAAATCAATATATATTTTCATAACTTACATGCACTAAGACAATATTTGTATACGATAAATGAAATTGGTGGGATTTTTCTTAAACCTTCAAATTCTCTTTGAACATCTAATCTTACTTGAAACGGAGCTATACCAGTAAATCTTCCAGTACATGGTAAGGAAATTTGTACATCTGAAAATCAGTAGAGAAAAAACAAACAATTAATTGTTATGTTCTATCGTTGTTTGTTATATTTCTAAAACGTAGTATTAATTTTTGTGTGTGTATTTAATCTTGTATAAAAATATACTTCTATAACTTGTTTATTTTTGTGATTATAAGAGAAAGTGATCACTAACTTATTAATGAATAGTTAAAATAAGAATATTCTAATATTTACATTGAGAACTTACAATCGAATAAAATTAATTTTATGAATTATATAGCCATAAAATATCTTTAAATGAGCTATTTTAAATGTACTCATTTCATCCTAAAGTCATGGTGAAAAAATTTCCACTTTGTAGTGCATAGATATCTCAGTTTGTGTTTTTTTAAACAATTTCATCGAACTATATGAAGCATTGTATAATTTGTCGATATATTGCAAATTTCCTGAGTTTTTATGTCGTTTAATAGTCAATCTGAAAGTAATTAATTAGAATGTATTGTCAACAATACAGGATCGTTGTCGAACACAAATGTCAGGAAGATACACCATATAGTCAACCTATTGGACTTCATAGAAGTAAGTAGATATATAAATACATAATAAAGTGCTACTGTTTGTATACCACATATTGATATATCGTCAGTTGGTATGAGATCGAAATTTAGAGACTTACAGCACAGAAGGTTTTGCTTGGTGGTCTCGATATACGTTTGAGAAGAATATTTTCACCTGCAGATATTTTGCAGGCTTTGAATTGTAAGGCTTTACTGCATTCGTGTCATTTTTTTGATTGATAAGTAGATTTAGCTAAGGTGTCTGTTGGTTTGTAAGATTCATTTAAAGGTTTTAAGTTTCCATTTAATAGTATGATCATTATATTTTTTTTGGATCCCATAAGTTAAAGTGTACGATTCTAGATTCTGCTTAATAGTAGTCAAGATTTGGATATACATAAATGACTTTTGAGAATAAATTTATGGTAGATTTATTGTATTTCTTAGTATTTGGTTAGAAAGCCCATTGATCCACGTGTTATATTTGGCGGCCTGTTTCAACATCTGGGCTACCTGCTCCTACCATCTAGATATTTCAACAAGTTATCTATTTTTTGATTTTTTTAATACATCATTATATCTATTAATCGCATAACCTATTCAGGTGCGTTTCTGAAAAGTGTACAGTCTTTCGTTTTACAAATAATGACTCCAAATTAGAGATATTGGTGTTGTTGGCAGTATGCAGCGAATAGAATGTACATTATTTCGATATCGATTTACTGAATTGTTAACTTCTAACCGGCAATCACTCAATATTTATCGTCAGGATCGAGTAAGTAAGTAAGAAACGGAAACTTGTTGAAATAGTTAGTACTGAGAATACTATATTGTACAGAAATTATAATGTTGAATAAAGCTAATAATAAATAAATAAAGTTAGCTTGGCAGTAAATGAGTTAAATTTCCCTATCATTTTTTTCACTCTACTCACTAGTCTAATTACTTCAACTCCTGAGTTCTAGAACACTTTTCTTCGAACCATGTATTCATGGATGTATAGCTATGAAAATAAGTCCATCAAAAATAACCCTTCACACATTCCAACTTCCGTTTTTCTCCACAGGGACCATTGATCTAAATGCTGTCAGGATCCAGGTTTTTTTTCACCCAGATGGTTATTTGAAGAGGATACACACGAAAATCTTTATTGGTTAATTTTTCCCTTGTTTTAAAAATGGGATAGGATGATCAAGCCACAGACAGTAATTCTTTCATAATAAACAGTTTTATGTGAAGCATATTAAAATGCATTTCCGAGAGAAAAATCATGTAGTATGTTTAAATGGCTGTGAAAACTATTTCATTAACCAAATATAAATGAACAAATATGTTATGAGTACAAGAATATAATCATTAAATATATTGGTCATTACTGAAAGTAAAG